GCTTGCATGTTTGAAAATATTGTGCTTAACCAGACAAGATCCTCCGACCCTAAGGGTATATTTGGTATGCACCAGGGGATGTTACTAGACAGTACAACAAACAAAATTTTAGCTGTTTTATTGTTCTTTAATACCATCAAAGACAATATATTCCACATTAGTGAACAAGTCATGAAACTACAAAATTTTGATGGTTTTAGACAGAATTAACAACTTTATCAGTAAAAGTAAGATTCTAATAATGCAATTTCATTGAGCAGGAGTATGGCCAGAGTCAGAGAGTTTTAGTGATGAAGGAATGGAACCCATTCCGAGTTCATGGAAAGGAATCTGCGAATCTGGAGTAGCTTTTAACTCATCTCACTGCAACAGGTAAATTAATTTTAATTTTCCATGACATATATTTTAATTACGATAAACAAAATATTATTAACGTCTGATGTTAAAATCAATCTTCTGTAGAAAATTGATAGGAGCGCGCTACTATTTAAAAGGTTAAGAAGCATATTACGGCCCATTGAATGAGACAATAAATTATCGATCTGCACGCGATAGAGAAGGACATGGGACCCACACAGCTTCGACCGTGGCAGGCCGTGAAGTTCACATCACCTCACTTCTTGGCGGCTTTGCCAGTGGCACAGCCAAAGGTGGAGCTCTTCTTGCGCGACTTGCAATTTACAAAGTGTGTTGGACGATCCCCAGTCAGTCGAAGGTACTAGAGGGCACATGTTTTGACGAAGATATGCTGGCAGCCTTTGATGATGCCATTGCCGATGGTGTCCATGTAATAAGCATCTCGATCACACCATATCAGAATATCGAATACACAAAAGATGGGATTGCTCTGGGAGCACTGCACGCAGCCAAGAAAAATATTGTAGTGGTGGCGAGTGCTGGAAATTGGGGCCCGGCCCCATCAACGGTAATAAATGTGGCGCCCTGGATACTTACGGTGGGGGCCAGTAGCATTGATCGGATTTTCAACTCGCCTGTTCTGCTGGGGAATGGAATGAAAATTGAAGTAAATTCTCTTTCATTATACTCTTGATTTCAGGTCCTTCAAATTTCATTGGTTTTGAGAAATTTAAATCTATTGCCATGGTTATTGATCCAGGGTCAAACTGTAACGCCATACAAGTTAAACACTGTGCGCCCTTTAGTTTATGCTGGAGATGCAGAAGCCCCTGGAACAACAACTAATGGTACCACCGGGTAATTATAATAATTTATAAGGAGCACATTCAATTCATGGTACTCCACCTTACCAAACAAGCCATCTGGAAAATTTCTTGACCCTTTTGCACCTGATCTTTTCCAGGTTATGCCTTTCTGGAACTCTTTCACAAGAAATTGTGCAGGGGAAAATAGTTTTGTGCTTGAAGGGAAATTCAAGTAATGTAGAAAAAGGTATGGAGGTGAAAAGAGCAGGCGGCGCAGGGTTCATTTTGCAGAATCCTTTGGATGGAATTGGAGTATCAGTTGATGCTCATGTACTTCCTGGAACTGCCATATTTTCAAATGATTCAGCCACTATTCTCAATTACATAAGAACCAACAAAAATCCAACCGCAAGAATAGTTCTAGCGAGAACTGTTTTGGGTAGTAAACAGTCGCCATTCATGGCCGCCTTCTCCTCTACAGGTCCAAATGGCCTTGAACCCAACATTCTAAAGGTATTTAGTACTCTTTTATTCGCTTCATCTAAAATTTAAGTTGTTAGTGTTAAATTGTTTTCTACACGTACAATGATTGATGGCTGCCACTGATTTACAGCCCGATATAACTGCGCCAGGGCTAAATATCTTGGCAGCATGGAGCGAGGCAAGCTCTCCCACTGGACTATTCTCAGATAACCGGGTGGTGAAATACAACGTTCTCTCAGGGACTTCCATGTCTTGCCCTCACGTAGCGGCAGCAGCCGCCCTGCTCAAGGCAGCGCATCCAGATTGGAGCAGTGCCGCCATAAGATCAGCACTGATGACTTCCAGCACTCAAACCAACAACGTCGGCACCCCGATAACCGATGCCATTGAAAATCCAGCAACTCCCTTCCATTATGGCTCGGGGCACTTCCAACCAGCAAAAGCAATGGATCCAGGCCTGGTTTACGACTCAAATTACACTGACTATCTTCTTTTTCTTTGCAACTATAACAACACCGT